AAATATATATAAATATATATATAAATAAAATACAATGTAATACAGTGAGGTGACATTATTATGAAAATGCCTGAAACATTCTATTGTTTCAGATTTGTGCTGGTTCTCCGCCAGGCGTTTGGGTGTGCAGCACTGATGTGATCCTGAATATTCCAACACGACAGCGTGAGCTAACATTTATATAATCACACATCTAATGCACAAACTTGTTTGTGCATGTTTTTACTGTTGCTTTTATTGATTTTCTTTACAGTGATTTCATGGGACGGGTTCTCTGGGGTTCGGGTTGTGGCATTGCCAGGTGATGTTAGTTTTGCTGTTAATCATGGCGTCTATCTCACTGATGCAGAGGTGCGTTATTGAAAATTAGGGTGATTTAAAAAAAACTAAAATTTAAATTTTTTTTTTAATTGCACTTGTGTATCACTTTCTGAGGAATGTTTAATTTGTGCTTTTACAGGCCAGAGTATGTAACATTATCTATAAGGGCTCAAAGGAGAAGATCAGCTGTGCTGCACTGCCCGATGGGAAAGTACCCCTGGTATGAATTTGTTTGGTAATGTTTGTTGCTATATGTAAATTTACTTTGTTTAAAGATGTATTAGATGTTTTGTTTGCATCTTGAATTGTTTTTGTGATGCTTCCTAAAAGTGTCTTTGTGCTCAGGTTTCCGGCCCGGTGTTTTTCTCTAGGACTGTGGCAGAGAAACTCTTACAGACTCATGTTACGTCACCATTGGACGGCTGTACGTATCTTGGCATGGATTCGGGAGCTCCACCGCTTGAGGTAAAAACACGGACAACATAGTTCTTTTCTCCGACTGGTCTCTCCCTCTCATTTTTCTTGCTCTCCCTGGCAGATATCTCTTTTTCTGGATATTCTGCTGTGCCTTTGCTCTGACCTGACAGAGCGTGAATTCATCAATGGAGAGAGAACAGGCTGCTCTTCACCCTCCGGACCTCAGGGGGCAGTAGTGAGGAGCAGCCGCGCTTTGCTGTGGAGGACCCTCAGGGGACCCTCCATCTCGATGTGTACTGTTTCACTCTTTTTTTGTCTCTACATTATAAAAAAAGTTTGTTTGGGAATTAAATACTAGCCTACTGAATACAGCATAGTATATATTGCATAATGCATACTATTTAAAAAAATGTGAAACTGCATACTGTTATGTATACAGTTTAATTGCAATGTGCTCTTTTATACTTTTTAAATGCAACGTGCACTTTTATATTCTTTATATATTTTATGCTGCAATATGTGGTTAAATGTAGGCTACATGGGTTTTCCATGCATACTGTAAATCTGTATACTTTCCTCAGTATGCATACTGTATATTGCAGAAGTAGTATGTATAGAGTAGTGTGTTTTTCTGAACGTAGCCTTTGTTTGCTTCCAGTGTACATTCCAGATGGTTGCTATGATTATTTGACTCAATCAGGCCGAGAACATGTCATTCGTCTGACAGAAACTGGAACTGAGACGATGATTGTCTCTCATATTCAGGTGGGAAATGTTGGGAACGTCTCTGGGATTTTTTAATAAACATTTTTAACCTTTTTGCAATACGATTTCTGCTTTAAAGGATGTGAAGTCTGTGGCAGAAGGCAGCAGGGTGATTAATAGCATCCTGGAAGGAGATGTTCATGTATCAGCAGGAGCTGTTGTGCAGCACTGCCACCTACAGGTCTGGAGGGTTTAACGTAATCTTAGTCTATTAACTATTTAAAGATATGAAATCAAAACTGACACAATTTTTTCTCAGTGAATATGATGCTTTTATAAAACATCACATTACTGACATGAAATCTGTTGTGAATATTTGGGTATGTGGTTTTTCTATATTTATACAGCTTTTCATTTCCATCCTGAAAAGTATGACCCACATTTACTGTTGTATAAAACAAAATTATTATTATTATTGATCTCTGTTTTTTTTATTGTACAGTACCAGTCATACTGTTGAAATAGTCATATATTTTATTGATTTGTTTAATTTTTATAATTTAAGTAATAATAAAATATTATTTTGAAAAATGATGATGGTTTATTATGAATTATTATTATATTGAACGGGAAAACAGTTTTTCCTTCTTTTTTTTGTCCTTAGCTGATCACATGCCTGAATAATACAGTTATCAAAATGTGCCAATGTCAATTGCAGGGTCCAGTCCAGGTGCATTCTGGGTGCCTGCTGTCAGGGCTTGATTTGACTTCATCCTGCATCCAGCGACTACCCCTGTCCAGTGACATCATCATTCAGGGACATCGAGTGATGCTGGGAGAGTTAAAGTTAACAGTGTTCACAGCTTTTGGAGCTCATGACAATTTAGAGGTGAGTTTAGAGCCTGTTACTTACATTAAATTTTTTATATAATTTTGAGAACAATATAAATAAGAAAATGTATGCTAATTTTACGTATTTTATTATACACAGTGTTGGGGGTAATGCTTTACAAGTAAGGCGAGTTACGTAATCAGATTACTTTTCCCAAGTAACTATTAAAGTACTTATGCATTACTTTTTACATGAGTTACTTTTTCAAATAAGTAACGCCAGTTACTTTGTTTTCCCATTTATGGACTGACAGCTGTCCCCAAAATAACGTATTGCTTTCCATAAAAGTAACAAAGTAATGCAATTAGTTACTTTTTTTTAAGGAGTAACGCAATATTGTAATGCATTACTTTTAAAAGTTACTTTCCCCAACACTGATTATACATTATTTATCTCCACCCAGGCCTGCACTGATGATGTCAATTCATCATTCCTTAATCAAAAATGGAGTGATTTTTATAGTCGGACTGGAATACAGTAAGAAATTTCTACTTTCATAACTCACATTTTCAGACTTTTGACTAAAGGTTTTCTCAATTTTTAAGATTATTGTAGCCAAAAACCACCTGTTATACAGGAAGAGCCTAAGCTGCCTAATTGACTTCACATTTACTTTTTTAAACCGTCACAGTTTCATATAGTGTGTCTAACATATGTATGTGTGTGTTAAAGGCCTCAGTACCTTTGGGGACCTGAGAGGACTGAGCCATGCTGTCTGCTGGACGCCCGATTGTTCCCAGTGTTCATGCCACATTCAGGACCCGTTGGACTAGAGGGTGTTTGTTGGCTCCTGGGTGGCGCTGGTGGTCTGGACAGCTGGAGGGAAGCCTGGAGACTCTCACTCAGGGATATTCTCATCCTGACGGACCAGCAGAGAGAGCTGCGCTGGAGAGAGAAGCTGTTCTTCAGTGTGGGCCGAAGGAGAGCCGTGGACACTCTGCAGGGCCACATGAATCTCAGTCTACAGCCGTTCTTCAGAGCAGCAGCTCTGGTCGGCCAGCAGGAGGAGCTACTGCAGGTGCTGGACTCTGGTAAGGAGCAAAAGATGAACAGTGGTTGGCATATGTTGACTTTTGAGAGGGTACTGATGGTTTGGCTGTTTTCTCAGTGGCTGCAGGCAGCAGTGGTGATCTGGGAGTAGCGGCTCGTTGTCTCGCCTGTATCGCTGATGTCCTTGGCTGTCTGGCTGGAGAGGGTAAAGGCGGTTTACGCAGCGGGCCAGCAGCGAATCCATCATGGGCTCCTGCTTTTAAGCTCCTAGAAGAGGGAAACTTACCTGCAGGTGTCCAAGAACTGGCCAATCAAAGAAAGCACTGGCTCAGCAGGTCAGAACTTTAAAACAAATGCATAAATTTGAGAGTTGTAAACTGACCATTTTTGATTTGTCATTGCTTTCTGAAGACCAGATTTGTTGGTGAGAGCCGCCAGGCATTATGAGGGGGCAGGACAGATACTGCTGCGGAAGGCAGTGATGTCAGCGCGTGAGTTTGTGTTCATTGGTCAAGGAGAAATGCCGCCCATGGGCGAATGGCAGGAAGTGGAGTGTCCTGCTCGACTGGATCTGTCAGGTGAGAACAGCATTCTTCATTTCAGTTGATCATTTGTTTATGTTTTACAGTGCTGTGTGACATTTGGAGTTGAACTGAATGTGCTTTTTTTAAAAGTAAGTTCAGTTTTTAAACAGAATGCAGAATTCCAATTCGAAATTTCTCAAAAGTGGCAGTAAAGACATTTAGAATGTTACAAAAGATTTCTATTTCAATTAAATAATGTTCTTTTGAACTTTGTATTCATCAAATAATCCAAAGAATCCTCAAAGAATCCAAGAATTGTTTTCAACGTAGATAATAATAAGAAATGTTTCTTGAGCATCAAATCGGCATAACAGAATGATTTCTGAAGGGTCATGTGACACTGAAAACTGGCGTAATGATGCTAAATTGTTTTAATATTTAACAATATTTATTTTTTATCATGTTTTTATGTATGTTTTCACTGTATTTTTATCAAATAAATGCTGAGAATTTAAAAAATCTTAATGACCCCAAACTTTTAGTTTCAACAGTAGTGCAGATGTATTTACTTAATATATTTCGTTCTGTTTAATAAATTATCTTTTGTTGACTAAAATTGAAGCTTTATTTTCCAGAATGCTTTTCCTATGTTGAATTTCTTTGAAATGCAGTAAATTTCTCTTCGAGTTAAATTCAACTCTAAAGTATTTAGGTTTTCTTGGGTCTTTGAAAGCATGTGCTGGAAGTGTGTTTTTGAATACATCATCAGGTGGCTGGAGTGACACTCCTCCTATAGCGTTTGAACATGGTGGACTGGTGGTCAATGTGGCCATTAAGGTGGATGGAAAACGGCCAATTGGAGCTCGAGTTCGGCGCGTTCCAGAGCCTCATCTGCTGTTGGTCAGTAGCAGCGGTAAACCGGCCTGCAGCATCTCCACAGAAACACTCTGTGAGGATCTTACTGACCTGGAAGACTATTGCCAACCTCACGCTCCGGGTGAGAGGCATGTGTAGACATATGCTGTGGGATCTGACAGTCTGAAACAACACAGTGCACAACACATTTTTGTTCTTAAGAATGATTTGATGTTAAACGTAAATGTACAAATATCTCTAAATATTTTAAGTTGTGTGTTTGTCTTGTAGGTGCCCTGCTAAAAGCCGTGTGTGTGTGCAGTGAGCTGGTGTGTGTATCGTCTCCTGTCTCTCTGAAAGAGCAGTTGTTACAGCGCTGGGGTGGAGGACTGGAGATCCACAGCTGGTCTTCACTGCCACATGGTTCTGGTCTCGGTGCATAAATCACTTTTGAGTAACTTCACTTTTTAAATGTACAGGATTTTGGATTACCACACAAGACGTCTTCCATACAATTGATAACAGAAGACAGAACTGCAATGTATAATGGCATCTAGATAATGTATTAATTAAATATTTACTAATATTTTTTATTTTAATAGGTTATTGCATCTTGAAATTAATATATAATATAATCATAATTAAATTGTGTATATATATGTGTATGTTTCTAGGCACCAGCAGTATCCTGGCAGGTGCAGCTCTTGCAGCAGTGTACAGATGCACGGGACGGAGCTACGACACAAACTCTCTCATTCATGATGTGCTTTACCTGGAGCAGATACTCACCACCGGTATGAGAGATGCTTTTATTCCTATAATGGGACACATCGCGTCCTTTCTAGAGTAATACAGAGTAATTTACTGGGCTGTGGAGCTTAACCAAACAGGAGTTTACATTTTTTAATAAGCTGAATTTGAAGGCATTTTGTATTTTTGTTGCTGTGTTTTAGGTGGTGGATGGCAGGACCAGGTTGGTGGGCTGTTTGGAGGAGTGAAACTGGCCCGATCTGCAGCTCAGTTACCGCTGAGAGTGGAAGTAGAACAGCTCTCTCTGAGTCGAGACTTCCTGTCTGTCCTGCAGCAGCATCTTCTTCTGGTTTACACTGGAAAGACGCGTTTAGCACGGAACCTGCTGCAGGTACGAGCGGCTGATGGTGACGGTCAAGACTTCATGAACGATGTGTTGTGTTTCACTGGATCACTGTGTGTGTGCAGGATGTGGTGCGGAGCTGGTATGCGCGTTTACCCTCCATCGTACAGAACGCAGAGCAGCTGGTGACCAATGCAGAGGAGTGTGCTGAAGCCTGCAGAGACGGTGACAGACACACACACTCATTAATATAAGATTTACATTAACTCTTGGTTAACTCATTAACTTGATTCTCTCTCTCTCAGGATCTCTCCTCAGATTGGGGGAGTGTATGGACACATACTGGCAGCAGAAGAAGCTGATGGCTCCAGGCTGTGAGCCAGCGGCAGTGAGATCCATGATGAACGCACTTCAGCCGCTGAGTTTAGGACAGAGTCTGGCAGGAGCAGGAGGAGGAGGATTCCTGTTCTTACTCGCCCGTGAGCCGCAGCAGAAGGAAGCAGTGAGAGAGATTCTCACAAACATACAGGTGAGTCAGAGAAACTGGTTCAACCACTGCAGAATGACACCATGTGAAGAAGAATGGTTGTTTAACCCTTTCTAAACTGTAGAAGCTGGTTTCTGAAAGGCCTGTGTGTTTAGTGTCCTAAAACTAATTACCTAACTTTTAATTTAACCACTTGTAAAAACAGAAAAACACAAATGGTTCAAGTAAAATGTATTTTATGAATGTTGTTGGTCCTGCTGTTGTGTTTGACAGGGCATTGGCTCCTTCAGTGTTCATTCAGTGGAGCTGGATATGGATGGGATCTCAATCATTCAGAAGAGCTCTGAACATTCTGAACAACAGCAGATAACATAAATCTGAGTGCCTTGTAAATATCAATTTAATTGATATTAATTCTGTAAATGTATCATTTATTATTAACTTTTCTCTTTCCTGAAGCATTATATTAAATATATAAAAATACCTGAAAATTACACAACATCAGGTTTTTCTTTCCTTTTTACTAAATTTAATAAACTATTATTTTAAGAAAATAGCCATGTTGTACTCTGACTATGGATCTTGTACTTGTTTATTGGCTGTATGAAAATGCAAGTACTTAGATGAAGATTAAATAACATGTCTACTTCCTAAAAAGAGGTGTCTATAAATTGGTATATTCCCCTTGACTAGCTACTAGTTGGTCAGAATAGCTTAAGATTCAGTCTTAAGATCGTGGCTATGTTTATGCAACTGTCCAGAACTAGCAGGCTGTGAGGGTATAGAAGGACTGCAGAGCTCTGCTGTTGCAATATTACACACCTTTATAAAGTGTTAACGCATAGTATGTACATAGTATATAATACACTTTTTATTTCTTAATGAGACTTTGTAGTCTTATGTCCAAACTCCAAAGTGTACAACTGTACAATAAGTTAATTATTTACTAAGGTATCATTATAGTTTTATGTCATTTGTACCTGAAGCTATTTTATCACTGAGATTTGTCTTGAAGAACAGGTTAAAACAATGGATTTCATTTTAAGATTATAGCTTGTTCAGTAGTGCTTAATGTATCCACTTATTTTAATTTAATTTTAACTTGTGAAGGAGAGATTGGTTTAGGTTACTTTTCTAAATGTCTAAAGTGTTCTCGACACTTCCTTGTGCCGATTGCTGTAAAGTTAGTGTTTACGGTCAAACTGAAAGTAAAGAGTCGGCTGGTGGGACTTAATGTAGTGTGAAACTCCGACTGAAGTAAAATGGACCTCGGTAAGCATTTATTCTCTTGAAAATAATCACCTTTTCAGTCATAGTAAACATTACATTTGTAACACTTTGCAATAAGATCATATTAGTTAACGATAGTAAATGGATTAACTAACAATGAGCAATACACCTGCTATAGCGTTTGTTTATTATTAGTTACAAAAATAAACTTCATTGTTAGTTCATGTTATCTCAGGTCCATTAAATAACATCGGATACGAACTTTTGATTTTACGTTAGTCATGTATCATAAAGTGAATGTTGAATGAACAGTAGTTTTGATTGTTAGTTCATGTTAACTAATGTTGAAATTTGAACCTTATTGTAAAGGGTTATACTTTTAATTACACTGTTCACTGTTTCATTTTCAAATTAGTCCAAAGATTAGGCTTTTAAATCTTGTTTTCATTTCCAGAATACAATCGCTTATTCTTTGTAATTTGCCACAACGGCAATGACGCGTAAATGTGCTCTGTTTCTATTAAAGGGGTCATATGATGCTGCTAAAAAGAGCATTATTTTGTGTAGTTGAACGACATTATTAACTAGCTATATGGCTGATCATTACAGCTGATTTAAAAGCAGAACTCCGTTAATGAACGATACATTATTGTTGGTCATACAATTGTTGGTCAAGAATGCTATTGTTTAGTATTCAAACATACAAGCATGGTAACACTTTAGAATAGCCTACTGTTCCAACTTCCATCATTATGAATAACTACACAAGAACACATGAGTAACGCAATATTAGCTCTCTAGTAACTACTAGTATCTAACAAGGAACTCTGATTAATGATTTATTAAGTAATTGTGCTTAGTCGAATGTGGTAGTTCACTATTAGCTAATCAGTACTACTATTTCTCATACCTCCCTAAGAACTACTATACAGGTTCATAATTAATATGAATAATACATAATGTATAATTAATTCTAAAGTGAAGGTCATGGTAACCCACTAATAATGACTCAAGTATTGCCAAATTCTTCAGAATGAATTACTAATTATTTGGATCAGTACTCTAAAGTGAATAACATTATACTTCTCTAGTAGGGGGATACCGGGGATGAAAGCAACACTTTTTGTTTGAGCATCAGTAACTCAGTGGTTGTTTGTGCTAGATCTCTCAAACTTTTGATATATGGTAGCCACATTTGTCTACTACAAATAACACTCACTTGGACGTGTACTGCATAATCACAGATTATGTGAGTTAATCTACTAAGAGTTCCGTTGTTACAGCCTACCCCACTACTGGGGTGAGTGGTAACACAGGCTGGGGATAGATGTAACATTGTGAAGTAATTTGCTGAAATAAGACCCAAACTTCCAAATTATGCAAAAACTTTATTGAAAAACAAAGAATAATCAGTTTTATATAAAGTGAACCATTTAAAATGACAAACATTATTTTGTATTCCTTTTAGGACTTTAAATTTAGCACAAAAACAATTGCTGTGTGTGTTTTTGTGTGTGTGTGTGTACTGTATTCAGTCACTAGCTGTGTTGCCATCTGCCATCTAATTTTGGAATATTACATAAAAAAATGCTGGATGGAAATGTTAAGATGCGCATAAATTGTAAACGTGCACAAAAAAACGTATGTGCTCATTTGAGGCGGTTAGTGTTTTTATCTAAAAAGAAGATACAGCGGGTAAAATAAGTATTGAACACGTCACAATTTTTCTCAATAAATATATTTCTAAAGGTGCTGTTGACATTAAATTTTCACCAGATGTCGGTAACAACCCAAGTAATCCAT